GGTGGTTTTATCTTTGTCAAATACTGGCAGACAGAAATTCTCTCCTAACCGCAACAAATCTCGAATTTCATACGGTATCGATACGGATGATAAATTTAAAAACCATTTATCTCTTTTGTCAGCAACATCAGGATTTAAAGAAACAAAGGAAGTCGGGCTCAAAGAAACGCTGAGAGACTGAGACGGCCCTGACTCACATGGCCTTGAAGAAAATTCTTTCGTACACGTGTAATAATATTGGATAGGACGGATATTCCTATTATTGAATTTATTTTGTTTATCTAAGAGCCATCTAAATTTATCATCCAGTCGAACCCGCTCCTTATTATAAAAATAATGTAATGATTTGCTTTGCTCACCGAAAAACCCATCACAACATCATAGACAGAAGCACAAAGTCAGATTAGATATTTACGAACTCGTTCGTTACATCATGATAGATCTCCCAGTGTTTTATTGTGATGGGTTTTTCGGTAAGCAAAGCAAATTATTACATTATTTTTATAATAAGGAGCGGGTTCGACTGGATGATAAATTTAGATGGCTCTTAGATAAACAAAATAAATTCAATAATAGGAATATCCGTCCTATCCAATATTATTACACGTGTACGAAAGAATTTTCTTCAAGGCCATGTGAGTCAGGGCCGTCTCAGTCTCTCAGCGTTTCCTTGAGCCCGACTTCCTTTGTTTCTTTAAATCCTGATGTTGCTGACAAAAGAGATAAATGGTTTTTAAATTTATCATCCGTATCGATACCGTATGAAATTCGAGATTTGTTGCGGTTAGGAGAGAATTTCTGTCTGCCAGTATTTGACAAAGATAAAACCACCATAGAGTTGTTGAAAAATATGGAACAAAATATTTTTAAACTCCCTGTGGAAAAACGATCTGCAGTCAGAAGTAGAGCCTTTCCCATAATAAATAAATTCCATATTTCCATGTCAGAAAAAGCTCACACAAAAAATAGTTTTTGTAAGGCTTACAAATTGACGGGTAAATTCATCCAAGACAATCCCGATATTTTATTTATGAAGGCGGATAAGGGTAATATCACGGTTGCGATGAACAGAGATATGTACATGGACAAAATGTGTGATTTGCTGGCTGACCGGGATACTTATACTGTTGTTAAAAAAGATCCGACTAGGAACCTAATTAATCAATTACACGGAATTTTAATGAGATGGAAAACGAAGAATTACATTTCTTCAACAACATATAAATCCCTGAACTGCACGGACGGGTTTTACCGAGAGCGTATGGTCTGCCGAAGGTGCATAAACCGAATTGCCCTTTACGTGTCATCGTGTCATCTAGGAATACACCTCTTTATTACTTGGCAAAATTTTTACATAAGATAATATATAAGGCAATTCCGAAACCTGATTCGGCTATTTCTGATAGTTTCCAATTAGTGAACAAATTAAATGGTTTATGTGTGGATAGTGATGTGAAGCTAGTTTCACTAGATGTAATCATCATTTTTACCATACGGTACCATTTGATAGTTTTTGACATGGGGCCGATTAAAAAGAGTGTATTTTATTTTGATTTTTATTTTCATATTATTTTTTATTTGTTTTTCGAAATATATGAATGACTTAATATAGGTAGAATATCGCACAATCGTTGAGGATGTCACGTGAGCACTCTTCTCACTGATTATTGCTGTCGATTGATTGTTCTTCCCATTTTATATTTAATTGTTGTGATATTGTTCGGCCCCATTAAACCATGTTAAAATAGTGTTTAAACACTCAAGGCTCTTTCCATCCTAGACGATGTTCACCATAGAGGAGACACTTGACAACCGACGAATTGAATAGATTGAATTATTTTAATGCATTTGAGATTGAGTATACGAGTTTCATAATTTCTATTGCCGATTATCTTCTATTTAAATTTTGAATCGCAGCTACTCTCTGTCATAAATGGGCACCATTAGAGCCTAATAAATGAGTTTGATTGGCTATCTCATCCGAAATTATAAATTTTTGAGTCATGCTGGGTTCTTTTGTCTAATAATTATCCTCTCAATTTGATATTTCATTACATTACAAGCGCGATTAAAAGTTTTCTTACGCTATAATTTAATTTAATATCGAAAACGTATCAAGATTTAACGCAGAGTATCGTATTAAATCGTATATTAATAATGTATCGTTAGAATCGAGGATATTACACGTATTTGAATGTTTTATATACAAATTATTTTCCGTAAATTCATTAGTACGTAAGGATAATTACCAAGAGAACTTTAATAATGTAACTTATAAAATAATTGTATATGATTCGTACGTTACGGGTAGATGTTAAACTAGGATGAAAGAACATCGCAACAAATAAAAAGAAACGCGTTTTTTTATTTATCTTATTGAACATAATTTTTGAGAAAAAGTTAAATTTGATTCTTCTTTTTTGTTACAGTTATGATCTACGAAATGTCAGAAAAATTTAAAAATAATTTTAAATTTAAATGCGCACAGATATTTCTTTATAAAATTTAATAAGTACGACAAATTTTAATTAAGTTTTTGATTTTACCCAATTTTACGGTGCAGATTGTTAATTGTTTTATTATATTAGTTGTTAATATTTTTTATTTTAACTGCAGCAATTTAATGTTTTAGCTGTGCGTGAATGTTGAAGGGATGTAATATTCACACAGCTTATTACAATTATTGTCTACCGTGATAGTGTTCGAAAGACCACGAAAGGCTGACTGATTTTCTATACATGTCATCGTGCGATAAATGTGATACGTTAGGACAACAAATCTTCTGAAGTCAATATAAATATATATATTATATATATATATTGTGTGTGTGTGTGTGTGTGTGTGTGTGTGTGTGTGTGTGTGTGTGTGTGTGTGTGTGTGTGTGCGCGCGTGAGTTTCTGTTTGTGCGTATGCGTGTGCGACGGCATTTGTATGTAACAGTTGTATTAATTAAGCACTTTCAAATTTCGGCCAATTAATCATATAAATATGCATTATTTACAAATTTATATCTTACTTATTTCGATAAACATTTCTACAACATATATGATGTAATATCTTGTAATATATTCATCGTTTTCGACAATTTTATCCTAATAATATATTTATCCTAATAATATCTTTATCTTAATAATATATACGCACACACGTTCACACGCACGCACGCACGCACGCATGCTCACACGCAATAATTTTAATATTAATATATAGTTATAAAAATATTAAAAATTAATAAGAGATAGTATAAATAAGTTAAAAATATAAAGGTAAAGATATTATAAAAGTAAATGTATCTAATATTTATAAAAATAATATTATGCATTATTAATATACATATATATAGTTTAATTTAACGCGCATGTATTACATAGTAGCTCCCATTTTATAATCTAATTGATGAGCTATAGAAAGCTTTTAAGATATATTTATATTGTTTTGCGGTTTTAGTATAATGGATTTCTATTTTTCGAATTTTTTGTGCATGTTGCAACATTGATGTACAAATTTTATTTTACTAAAATAGATTCGACATTTATCATTAAAATAATAGTAAGAAATAATAAATAATAGAGAGGCAAATAGAATGATGAGATAATTTCTTAATATATAAATTCATCGCGTTGATTGGAAAATACACATGTTAAACGCGCAATTATTGTCGCAAACATCAATTTGAGAACAAAAAATTTTAAATTTATACTTTTTATCTTCTTTCTATGCTTATATATCTTTTAAATATAATTGTGAGTTACAATTCATATTGACACAACTTACAATATTTTTAAGTCCATTAGAAACATTAGCATGGAGCGCCGAATTATGTTGCACGATTTTAAAGTTATGAAATATAAATTTATATAAATATTAATATTAAGATTAATATTATATAAGTAACTTTGAAATTAGAATGTGGATTTACATAAAAGTGAGTGAAAAGGGGGAGAGGGGGGAGAGAAAGACGTGATTTCTTGTAAAGAAAAAATGCTAATCAATCACAAATTTTAGATTATAATATTAAATGTCAAATATTTAATTATTCAACATATGGCACATATAATTATAATAGTGTACATATAACGTTAACGTATTACTAATTCTTTAGTTATACAAGCTTATTATATATATATATATATATATATATATATATATATATAATCATTATTAATTACTAAAAAATGTGTATTATTCAAAAAATATGTATTGTTATTCATTAATTATTATACTGTATTAATTATAATGTATTAATATATTAATATATAATATGATCTTTATATATAACCTACGTATGATATAATATATAATATTATGATTTTATACATACACACACACACACACACATATATATATATAAATTTTTTTTTTAATATAAAAAGACGAATTTTTATAATTCATATAAACACAAATATGTTGTGTGTAAATTTTTATAATATTTAAATAACAAATTGTTATATATATATATATATATATATATATATATATATACTTGTGTATATGTGTACGTAAACATATAATTTTATTAATTAATGTAAAAAATTGAAAACAAATCAATATAAATTAAAATATATAGATAATACATTTAAGTGCATTTATCATTCAACAAGCATATTTATATATTCATATTATTTATATATTTATACATTTATATAATCATATTATATCTAAGAGTAAAATTTATTGTAATATTATATGGCTATTTTCTTGTGACAACATAGGTAATAATATATTGTTGAACTACTTCATACAAGTTCACAAAAAAAATGAAAAGCTTTTGGTACATTAAGTCATGAAATTAGTAAATACAGAGGCGTCGAATAGTAATACATCTAAAAAAACATAATAATTAAAGCAGTAAAATAAATAATACATACAATATAAAAATATTCATATGAAGTATATCCACGTATAGAAAGCTGCAATTTTTTAAATTTCACTACAAGAAAAACCGACTATAATACTCTTTCTGTCTTTCGATTTGATATTTGCGAATTGATATCTTGTTTCAGCTTTGTCAGAATTTAGCATTATGGAATCCTAATAGGTATAAACAAAAATTTGCACAATAAAATCAATATACTGTTTATATAATAAACAAAACTAATATAAAATTAATACGCAGAAGTTAATAAGCAAGATAGAACAATATTTATTTTTCTTTCGATTTTCATAATAATATTTATTAAATTTACCATTTCTTTTATTTCATCAAATAATATCTTTGCATAGGCTTTCAACCATTTAACGTGTTCGTTTATTTCCTAAAATGTATTATTTTTTAACATTATTAATAAACAACATTAATATAACATTATCAAAATTATTTAAACATTAAATAATAATTATTAACATTGCATTATTATTACATTTTGTATACATATATAAACATGTAAAACTTTTACCTCAGTTAGAAGATTTACGGAATATACATTATTAATAATAATAATTAATACTGCAGTTAAATGAACATGTCTGAAAACGAAAAAACAAATGTATATATAAAACACAATATATTTTTACAAAATACTTCTAAAAATATGTCACATTACTTTAGCCTTATGTTAACAAAAAAATTATCTAATATGTCCTTCAGAATAATTTGATTATTCGCATGCTTCGTAATAATATATAAGAAACTGTTAAGAAGATATTGATTTTCTTTTTTAAAAATAGATTTATATCTTAAATAGTTTTTAATTATATCAGCATCTTTAGTGCAAGCCAAGTATTCTAAAAATTTAGTGTCTTTTTTTGCAACACCTATAGCATACACTGATTCCCAAGTCGGTTTGTTGGTATTTATCATCAAACCTTTACAATATGTCCATTCCTTCCACCATGGCAAAAGTCTATAACATAAAAAAATTAAATTTTCTTAATAAAAACTAACATATGGATATCTTAATCAAATTATTTAAACATTGTAGGCGATGCCTACAGGAGAATTTGATTAAAAAAAGCTAACAATATATAACAATAGTTACTTGTGTTTTTCAAGATCTTGGAGATGTTGTTCTAATTTATTGTTGGCTTCTTTCGTACAAGTGATATCATCAAGAAGACATGCCCATCTTGCAGCTTCTTGTCGTAAACATATTCTAAGTTCGTCTATATCATCAATTTCTTCATATTTGATTCTTCTAAGTACATGATATAATATGTTATTTATTCTTTCCTACAAATCGTTAAATATATATTTATTTGTTTGTATTATAAATGTATTTAATAATAATTATATTTTACTATTATTTTCCAAGAGATTTTTAAAATTTTTTCTTTCTATGAAACAAAAATACATAAAAATTCACTTATAGACGCTATCTATTCACGTACATATATGTACTTGCAAATATACATATATGTATTATACATGTACGCAAAAATATGATTTAATTTGTGCGAAATGTTTACAATATTTAATAGATATTAAAGTTTTATAACTATTTATGAATCATATTTTATTTTTAAATAAGGTATAAAACATATATTTTGAGAAATATATAATTAAAATTTTTGATTATATAATATTTTATAATTAATATATAAGATTTTAAGCTCTTTGCTATACATATATTCAATAACAATGTTATATAGCAATAATATTGGCAGTAGTGCAAATCATAGACTTTTCGGACAGTTCTTTAGGTGAATGATTATTTAAACAAAATTTGTTTGCACATTTGTTTGCGACGTAATAGTATGTAAAATGTTATCGTTGCTGGATATATTTTCTAAATTGTAAATTATTTGTGATCAATGAGTGTATATGCAAATATTTAAATATTTTTATTGAAAGAGTGATGGCAAATTCGCCCGTTTTGAGACCTTACATTTCGAACATTTTTTCATCATAAATAGTACTATTAGTACATTACCTAATCCCGCAATAAAATTTCAAGATGAGCATAGACACGGTTCCGAAGATATGAAGAAGCGAATGTGATAGTTTGTCATCTTTGACTAAAAATCATCACTTGCACCTGCTTGTATCTCCGGAACCGTGTCTATGCTTATCTTGAAATTTCTTTGGGATTAATGTCTCATCATATAGTACTATTTGACATAAAAAAAGTTTGAAATTTGAGGTCTCAAAATTCGACTCTATAAAATGGGCGAAAAAACAGGTCTTTTCGCCATCACTCTTTATTAATATTTACCGTAAAATATCCAATTTTTTCTTTCAACACTGGAAAAGTACTACATATATATTCCAAAGCTTTAAACAAAGGATACCATGCTATATAATCTTCTTCTTGATGCAAATACGATATAATGTTCCAGAATATATAGGAATGGAGATGGCCTGCTATCATTAAATTGAATGCATCATCGATAATTTGAGCACGATTAAGAACATGAATTTTCTTGTAATTACGAGAGTGTAGATAATTTGTAATTCTTTGCCAATTTTCTTCATCATAGTTAACGCGATAATATCCTGTCGAATAGTACATAAATTTTATCAATTCTTATTGTTCTGAATAAATTATCATTAATATAGTTATTTTTGAACTTATTTCAATTTTGTTTCATACTTTCTTTATTAAATTATAAATTAAAAACGTATGAAAAATTTAATATCGTCGATAAATAAAATGCAAATGCATATAGAAGATTAATTATAAAAATGTCATCTTAATACTTAAAATAGTAGCAAAAATAAAACTGTGCAAGATATTGTTGTATATCATAAAATAAAATTGATTTTAGTTGTGAATAAATAATAATACTGCTCGACAAAAAATACTTTTTGCAGGTTCAGAAAAAGTTTCCGAAGCGTATTCTTGTAGATTTTTTCATGCTGATTACAAATCCGGCCGCGAAAATTGCGTTTTACTTCAGGATTTTGAGATATCTTGATCTAAATATGCGAAAAAGGGCATTTTAGACACTCTTCTGTAAAACAGCTTTTAATTGGGACGTGATGAAAAGTGCTCCGTCGGCTCAAAATAAAGCTTAAGACTTGTAATTTATGTTAAAAAGATAAAAAAAGTTGAATCTATAAAGAGTTTATTGCAAAAACTAAATTAAGAAATTTAAAATATCATTTTTCGCAATTTTTCTTATACTAATACAAAGTCTTTAGACGTTTGGTAGAATCATTCACTTTAACTCTTATAGATTGACCTTTTATATATTTTTTTCATAAACTACAAGTTTAAACTGATTTTGAATCATTGTAATACTTTGATCACGTTCCAATTAAAAGCTATATTTTACAGAAAAGTGTCTTAAATGCTCTTTCTCGCATATTTAGATCAAGATATTTAACAAACCTGACGTGATACGCAATTTTCATGGCCGGATTCGTAATCAACATGAAAAAATCTTAAAAAATACGCTGTAAAAATCTCAACAAAAACTTTTTGTGTTCGAACAGGGTAATTATTTTATACTAACCAATCTAATTTCTGTAACATGTAACGTTACGACAATTGTTTGTTACTTGCACGTATTATTAATTTCATAATATAAATTACCTTATTTTAATAATTTTTATTATTATTAGAATAAAACTTTGTAAAATATAACTTA